AACACAGATTTACACTTCACAATATGTTAATTGATGGAGTTGTGTGGATTATTGTGATGTTTTTATCTTCTGTTTGGACTCTCATTCTGACGGCACCCATTCACTGTAGAGGATCAATTGGTGAGCAAGTGATGTAATGCTAAATTTCTTCAAATCTGTTCCGGTAAAGAAACATTTCCTTTAAAGTATCATTCATATCTGTGAGGTCAAACACTTGTTTTAAGATGTTCAGAATAAACCACTAACCCTGTATGGACAATAATAAAAAAATGTGTTTGCTTTAGCAAGACACTATAAATATAAAAAAATATTTCATATAAAAAAAATTTTTTCTCTGCTCAAAATCATCCTCTTGCAGACGACCTTGATATAGCAACATTCAGTATTGATCAAATCAGTCTCCTAGTGCCATCGATAAGACTAAAAGCCTGGCACCAGAGGAGAGACGCAGAGAAGAAACAAGAGCGATGGAGACCGCATGTGGTTTCTCAAAAGCTCAAACTGCTGTATCATCAACATCTTTGCCAACAGCATATCAAATGAACAAAGTACTACATACTGCACTTTTCCCTTAAAACACTGTCTGACCTAACCACTTATTTTATTATTGGGTTTGTCAAAATCAATGCATTTAAGCATATGATTAATTAAATATGCTGAATTGATTCAATATGACTGTGCAAAATGAATGATGTGGTGTAATTTCAGTGATAACTGCCATAAATATTAGTAATTTTATGCATTCTAAAAATGTATACAGCACATACACAGCTGTTTTGTGTGTGTCTCTGTGTATATGTGAATCTATACATACTGTATATTTGAAACAGAAATCTTTTGTAACATTATAAATTTCTTCACAATTGAAGGCGTTAAACCAACCGGGGTGCCGTCTGTCGAGAGCAGGGGTGCTAAAAAAACACTGAGTGAGCAAAAATTTGTGAGATAGCTAGTTATAATGGTAATTAAATAATGTTTACATATATATAAAAGCCTACATTAAAATCTGTCATATAAATTGGTCTCTTCATTAGAAATTAGCCTACTGATTGCCACCATTGATGGACAAAAATGTTTAATAATATTAAAAATATCTGTATGACATTATATTCTGCAGTTCTTCCCTGTTGCACCGAATATCTATACTTTTCAAATGATCATATCGAAGTTAGAAATTCAAATATTGTGACAAAATTAATTTTGTAGGGTGCCACAAGTTTGTTAAAATTTCCAAAGGGTGCCACGACTAAAAAAAGGTTGGGAAACACTGCGTTAAACTACCTAAATGTATTAAATACCAAAACAAACAAACTAACAAAAAACAACCTGACTAAATCATAAATAAATATGAATACAGGAGGTATTGACAGCCCTAATTATTACAAATTTGAATGAGAAAAACAATACTATGCACTGCATCACCCTGATACATATAAAGTACCTAAAGACAACAACACAATTACGAATGCTGTATGCTTTCAGCCAGTTTCAAATGATCTTTTCTCCTCTTCCAGTCTTATTGCTCTGATTCCCTAAAATGCAATTATGGTCCGGAGACACAGATAGCACACTCAGCTCAATGTCCAATTAGCCTGATTCATGAATACGGGCTCTGAGAGGAACTTATATCTGGATGCTTAAACGAGTTTCTGCGCCACTCACGAATCCCTGCAGTGCTATCCTGCATCAGCCTACACAGAAAACAATCACCTGAACAACTGGAGGATGTCAGCAGCCAGTGTTTCCTGTCACAGCGCTTATGGAGTTCACAGACTTACTTTCACTTTTTTTCAGGTCTCCATGTCAGGAGTTCTTGTTTTCTATAACAAGCTGTCTTGATTCATTCTGAGCATGTAGGCATGACAGATTGAGGTTGCCAGATCATCAACTTACTCATTGCCCAGAAACTCCCATGTGCTCTCTTTAGAATGAACATTTAATTCACAGTGTTTGACATAATCTAAATTCATCTCAGGGTTTGATATGAAATGTGACTGGAAGTCATTTGCAGCATTTTAAAGCATTATAGGTTTTCACAACATGAAGGATGTCCCAAAAGTTAAGCTTCCATAATTGCTTTGTTTTAAGATAGCTTTATTTGAATTAAATTTGAATAAATTTGTCTGTATCACATATACAGGGCTCAAAAGTAAGGATACAAACTTAAATGTTTTCTTTAATATAGTCTATATATATATATATATATATATATATATATACACTGTACACACACACACACACACACGTATAAGTATATATGTATAAGTATATATGTAATGTAATTTTAAGAATTTATTTAGCTAGTTTAACAAATTATATTTTGTCATATTTGTAAAAATGACTAGAAAAGTATAGAAAGCATTAGCAAGAATGTTTGCTAAAGAATGTTTGTGTTGTAAAAACTACAAATCAATGTTTTGCAACCTACAGTATGTCTGTTTTCCAGCAAAAATATTTATACATTTAAGAAGTTACATAACATCTGTATAATTTCTAGATTGTTGCACTTTTTCCTTTTGTAAATAATAATTAATAAATAAAATGAAAAAGTAATTACAATTTCATTAAAAAAGTAATGACAACAAATATAAGGAACATTTTGATAAGGAAAACAGTTATATTACAAACATTTCTAGCAATTAATAAATGCATATCTAATTTTTAAAAAAAATTATTATTATTTTGTGGTGAGGCCAGATAAACTTTTGTCAGGGCAAAGAAAAAATCTGAACTATTGGCCAGCTGAAAAAAATGTTGAATACTGTTGAGCCCTGCATATAACCTTTGTGGCAAAGGCAATCCCAGAATGCACTGCGATGACTTGTATTTCATCCAATATCAAAATATATTTGTGCAATCTAATTAAATACTATTTCATCAATATTAGTGTATGCCATGATTTTATGCTTTTTGTCTAACAGCAAGAAGTTGAAAACAATGTCGGAAAGCTCTGAAGACTAGATTCCACATCCCAATTTGCAGCATAAATTTATACTATACACTAAAAGAATATCATAGCACAGCATTTTGTTACCACATACCATTTTATCACATGTAAAATTCACTTAAAATTCAGTCAAAACAGGACCATCACAAACTCTTCCTTTCCACTGCACAAAAAGCATCAAGGAATACTTAAAGTAGGATGTTGCAAGCACAGAGCTCTAGCCACATGTCAACGGCATTATGGGACCACAGCTGTCCCTCCCAAATATGTTAAGGTAAATATTCCATGACAAACAGCTTGCAGGTCAACCATGGACATTGCCTTAAGCAGAACATGCGGAAAGAGTGTGGCTTATTGATGTGAAAGGGGTCTCCAGCCATAAATGATTGATGAGACAGGTAGGGCAGTGGACAGTTTCAGCATGAATTGATGCAGAGGCTCCAGAGACTGTGGAAACAGGAAGACAGCACGCTCTGATAGACATGGCTGAGATTATGTGCCCGCAGACAGGAAGAAGATTAGAAGTTTTCTGGTGGACCAGTACACCAGATTCGGCTGAGAGATGAAACAGTTTTTGCTTTCCACTGTACATGATTTTTGCTAAAAATTATTATGCAGGTGGATAATGCCACCAGGCTTTGGGTGTTTGTGTGACTGAACCGCCTCCTGCTATTGGTAACAACAGTGGGTCACTTTGCTGTTTTTGGCGTGTCAGCAGGCAGCGCTGAATTGAGCATAATGAGCTCTGGTTGGTGCCTCATCGTTATTCATTGAAGAAAGTGCATGTCTGTTATATGCCTCCGGGTGAGAGACCTTTAAGCGATTGTCTTAAAGCCACTGACATTTTTAGAGGGCATTCAAGGACACTGTGGACTGGCAGAAGGAAATTATATTCCTGACATTCTGTGCCCCCAGAGTTCACAAAGCAAGGTATATAATTTCCTTCACATACTTCCTATGTGAATTGCTACACAGTATTATTGTACTGGAAAAAGAAGGAATCAAATAATTATACTAATTCCTACTAATTCTGTGAAATAAGTTGTAATTTGCATCTGCAGAAATTGTTGTAATGTAAACAAGCATTCAGCATAAAGCATATAAAAATTTAATACTAAATTATAAATTATTAATATTATGCCATACAGTATATGCACCAAAATCATATTCCCACAGAATTATCTATTACCACCTAGTGGCTGAACTGAGGCAATACAGTGTTTTAATACTAATTTCTGTCTGCACCAACTCACAATAGCACATTTCCTTTTGAATTTCTAAGGGTTTGAGTTTTCAACTCTTAAAGGTTAAAAGATCAGAAATAGACAGAGAAGAGAGAAAATATTGGTAACACTTTACTTAAAGCAGCAGTCCGTAACTTTTGGCGCTCTAGCGGTTAATAAACAGAACTGCATGCGTCTTGCGGAAAAACATTGTAGCCGGAGCTACTTCTCTCTGCTTATGTCTATGACGAATCACGCAGGTACTGGGCTACTCCGCAGCGGTACCTACCGAACCAGTCTAAAATAGTCTGAATATAAACATTTATTATAGGTGTACCGTAGAGATTCAGGATAAGCCAAAAACACGGTTTGGAAAATGGATTCACGGTGTACTCGCTTATTATTTAATAAAGGTTATTAAAGGGTATAATGCATTATAATTATTCATAATGTGTGTTGTAATACATTATATTTTGTCGTAAATGATATTATAACCAAATTTGAAATGCATAGTGTAACAATGAATTGATAAGTGTTATAATGTATTAACTGTGGTAACAACTATTCATTAGATTGTACAATACATAAGGTGCATTACAAGGCATAATTCATGCATTAAAACTACTTTTATAATGCATTATACATAAAGGTTTTAAGTAAAGTGTTACCAAAATATTCTGTGGATACTATATAATCGTCAACCTATGCTCTTGTCTTACAATCAAACTCACAAATACAGTTTATTGTTAATAAAGTGAAACAAAAAAACATTTGAGGTTACCGGTTAATCCAAGCCTGGGGGAGTTTGCAAAGGAACAGAGAGCACTTACCAAAGACTTTACCCAGGAAGAGTGACTTGACCAGGGTGAACTGTGTGTCTGAGGCTTCTGGCAGGCTGTAGCTGACGGGAGGATAATGATCCAGCTATAAGAAAGACAAGTAGTAAGAAAAGAAAAACAGAAAGACACAGAAACTAAATTATATACAAATGTCTGTTGCTGGTGGTCAAGTACAAATTGCCCATGCAATTAATATTTCTCTATAGTGGGCAATGGGGCCATCTACTGGATAAATATTTCATCACTGACCATACAGTCAAAGCACCACAGCATTTACAATTCACTCAGTTACCTCTTAAAATGAGGGAGTTTTATTTGTTACATATTCACAAAATGTATACATTTTATATAATGTACTATATATAACTGATATAAAACATCATTGCAATATATAACAAAGTATTATAACAATTATTTAAAATATACTTTGCAATGTATTTTACTACTACTACTACTACTATTTTTTCAATGTATTTAATAATAGTTATAATTATAATATTATTTAATTTAATAAATAATAATTTAATTGAATAAACTTTTAGACATATAATTTACTTTTACTTATTGCACAGCAGTATTTTGAATATACAGTACAATCAAATGCACAATATAGGTAATTTTATTATTATTAATATATATTTTAAACATTTGCTTCCAGGTGTACATGTAGAGTTTAAAATACATTTACACTTGTCAAACAAAGTAGCTTAACTTGTAGTATAATAATTAGTATTATTTACATACCATTACAGTTTTTATTAATATTCTGAATTAATTAGTCATTATTTATAATATTTATATTATTTATATGGTCTGTTTTAATTTTAATTACTAACTTAATTTTTTGTCAATTTGTTATGTTTAATGTTACTTCTGTTTCAGTTTTAGTTCAGATTTAGTTATTTATTTTCAGTTAATTTTAGTGCTTCAAGTTCTTATGGAATATTTATATTTTATTTCAGTTTTTTTTTCAATTAACAAAATAATTATAATAGTATTAGTTTTCGTTAATGATAAGCCTGGCTTGATATAATTTTAAAAATATTCTTTTTTTTTCAGTCCAAAGATCATGCTGATATGCGGTAAGGCGGCAACAGTTGAATGCAACCACACACACACATGCACACACACATTCGGTGACAGCTTTAATTATCCCCGTTACTGCTGATTCACTGGCACTCCTAATTAGCATGAGGCATCTCAGCCTCGGTATTAAAAAGAATTATTTCCGCTAAATTACTTTTTTGTGCTTGAAGATACGGCTGCTCTCTCAGTCTCCTCTGTGTTGTGAAAGTGGCGCTCTCATCGCTGTGCACTGCCGTGAATACAAATTAGCCTCAAAGAAAGAAACGGAGAGTCCAACACAATAGCGTTTGCCTGACATATTTCAGCTCTAATTTGTTCCACTGATGTGGCGGACTGATAAATGCAAGCATGTTTATTCAGACGCCTCCCAGGTGCGTTTGTGCCGGGTAAATCAAGCAGGGGAAGCCCTCCCTCACCGCTAACATTCACCGCTTGGTGAATCTCAGAAGACCTCGTGGGCTTGTGTTTCTGCCGCTGCTAATGGAGGAGGGTGTGTTGCCATCCGTCGACGGGATAATGTGACCAAATTAAATTGCTTTCAACCTGTTTACCTTTCAAACTAATGGGCAGCAGGGATGGAGGGATGACACGGAGAGAGGGACTGTCCCTTGTGGTGCTGCGGCCCCATTCTGACACGGCTAGTGCTAATGAGCCCTGCTGTGGGCCTATAATTAATCTCCATCCAACCAGCCTCCTATCTGACAGGGCCCCTCCTGCACAGCGGCCACCCAGAGAGAGGACACTCGGCCTGGGAGGCGACAGCCACAGCACAAGCTTGAGTTATAGCCACAACCCCACTGAGAGAACAACTTAGAGAGTTACAGCGAATAAACACAGGAGATAAACGAAAAAAGAATAAAATGATGGAAAAGAGAGTGGGAGTTAATAGACACGAGTCGTTCTAAGAAATTAGTTTTGGAAAGGTGCATTTTTGGGTACATTTTTGTAAGATTTTGAAACATTTCAAACCAAAATGGCTGCTGATAGGTGATGGCATCCTGTCACTCAGCAATCAACCAAATGAACAACAACTAAGAAGATTAATAAATAAAAATTAAACCATAACCCTGTTTTTTTGTCAACAAATGAGAGTTAATTGAACAAAATCATTAAATGATAAATTAAACTGAACAGCAAAAAAGCCAAATAGTAATTAAAGTGGTGAAAGACTAAATAAATATATAAAATGTACACCTTCCCTTATATATATATATATATATATATATATATATATATATAAAGCAAAAATGTATGCTTTTTAAACAATGCAATGCAATAAATTCTAAATACAATTATAAAATTTACAAAAAAATTGTAAACACACAAATACACACTCTTATACATTTTCCTCAATAAAGACAGTAAAAATGCAACCAAAATATACTCCTTTAAAATATTTATATATAAATAATATATTTTTATGTTTATACATAAATTATTATATTATATTAAAGATTGCAAAACACTTCCCTGACACTTCACTTCACCACGGTAAAATGAATAAATAATTAATGTATGAATATAGCCACAAAAGCAAATGATTATCAATATGATGATGATCAGTTTTTCACAATCATTTTAATTATTTGTTTAATTTTATGTACTTTTGTATATATTTTTATTTGTTTTGTAATGTTGCTATTTTAGTTGTTAATTTATTTTTATTTCAGTTTTAGATTGTTCAGTTTTAGTTTGTATTTATTTTCAATTAGTAATTTTAGTGCTTAAAGTTGTTATCTAATATTTTTATTTTTATTTTATTTCAGCTTCAATTAACAAAAACATTCTAATAGTTTTAGGTTTTGTGTACATTAACCCTGGCTTGATATAATTTTTTACATATTTTTTTTTAGTCCAAAGATCATCCTGATATGCAGTAAGGCGGCAACAGTTGTGTAAAAAAACATAGTAAGTAGGGCTAATCAACAAAAAACACTATTTCACAACTATACAATTTCTGACAATTATTCATAACCACCAATTTTACAGAAATGGTGTTTAAAGAATAATGTTTTAGTGGAAAAATATTGGTAATTCTCACTTTGTTCACAAATCTCATAGGTCAGAATACATCACATCGGGTCATCAGATCTGATGTATTTTAACACATCTAAAGCTCAAATGGGATCCAAAAATTCCATACAGCTAGAAGTCCACACAGCTCCTAGTGTTCTCCAGTGGAAATGAATGATTTCTTGTCAGATATGGTGAAAAAGGGGCTTAATGCAATAATAAAAACACAGTGCAAGGTCCACCACATTACTTTGATAGAAAGTTGACCTGATAGTGGGAACCCCAAAAGTATTCATTAATCTAAATTAATAATACATCCCAAAATGAAAGTGCGCTCTGCTTTTTGTCTTAGGGTTTCAAAAAAATCTTCAAAAACTTCTAGAAGATCAAGTACATCTGTTTGCTTTTCCCACATGGTTGTACTCTTAGTTATGTTTTGACCTTTCACTGTCTGATTCAAAAAGGGTGTGATGTTTCATTCAAAAGAAATATCACAGGCGTGGGTGTCTGGAAAGGTCAGCTGGACTGATGTTACTGCCTCTCATCTCATATTCCTTTTGAAGCAAGCTCTTTACTCTTCTGGAAAATGCACAGGTGGGCAAAACCTGCATCACAGAAATCTAAAATGCAAAATCAGAATCTGATTCCTCAATAATTCACAAATAATTTATAACACAATCTTTGACTGTTTTGATGAATAAATACTCAGGTCTGTAAGAGAACATTTATTTTTATTATCTTTAATATAATTTAAAACTGAAATGTAAACAATATCATTACAATTAGGACTGTAAGTAAATATATTTAATATAATATGCAATAATATCAGTGTTGCTGATCAACCTGTGACGATTCATTTATATTATGGAGGTTCCAGGTTCTAACCTCTTGATTTCAATAAACCAAAATTGCATCTGTTATGCCTCTGCATAAGTAGATGTATATCAGGAGTGGGGATGCAATTGGATTTTGTTTTGTAATTTCACTAGAATGAAGAGGGAGCCGTGGAGAAGCGATAGATTAAAATGCGTCATGCTGGAGAGAACACTGCCACGGACACTTTCCATGACTGATAAAAACCACAATGACCAATCAGCATAAAGAAATCACAAATTCCAGTGGCAGATCGTCATTCATTATAAAACATGATAATGAGATGTCCCTGCCTTTAAATGATGTCCATAGCAGTATTCTGCAGTGTATTTTAGTGTCATTGCAATACATTATCAATATTTTTATATTTTCTTTTTTTTATTTTAATTTTAAAACTTGAATAATTTCTTTTTTTTTTAATATTTGTATTTTTCAGTTTTAGTTTTAGTTATTTCGTACCAAGAAATGTTGCCTTTGCAGCTAGGTTAAATTTATATATTAGTTTACTATATTAACCCTCGTTTAAATATTTGGGTTCAGTAAGATTTTTTTTTTAAATAAATTAATATTTTTATTTAGCAGTTATGCAACACTGATAAAAAATCATTTAACCAACAGTAAAACCATTAATAATGTTACAAAAAAAATTATATTTGAAATAAATGCTGTCCTTTGTAACATTCTATTCATCAAAGAATGCTGAAAAAAAATGTAGCATTTCCACAAAAAAAAAATTAAACATTGATAATAATAAGAAATGTGATATTTATAATATTTCACAATATTACTGTTTTAAAAAAATCTATTTTTAATCAAATAAATGCAGCGTAAGCACAAGCGACAAAACACATCACATCACATCACATCACATCACATCACACCACATCACACCACACTACACAACAAAACCCCCAAATTCCCGAACGTTATATACAGTACATATCTAAATCTTATAAACTAATGTATAAAAATGATGTTGAAAAAAATATTTTGATATTGAAAAAAGGTTTTTGTTATTGTCATTATTGTCATAAAAGCATAGTGGACAAGTGGACATGTAAATGCCAAGCAAGTTAATGTTATTTGTAATTTCCAACAAAACTAAAGAACAGAAAAGAATCTGTAATTTGAAAAGAAAAGCTAATTTAACAGCCCTAATAAACCTGCTGGGCTAATTAAACAGAAATGATCAGGCTTGGACAAATATAACAGATCTACCTTAGAAACCTGAGTTCTTCTGAGTCCTAACCTGCCTTTAATTTACACATCTATGTGACCTACCTTAGGAGTACCTGCTTGATTGCCATGCAGTGTGTGTGTGTGCCTGAGTAGTCATAAACACACACAGACACACACACACACCCAAACCCCTCACACACATAGGTCATTGTCTGAAGGATGGCTATGGGTTTCTATTTGCTGCAATGTCAGCGGGGTTCCCAGGGGCCATAAAGACAGGGTAAAAGGGCTATGGTTTTCTGTTTCTCCCTCTATATATTTCACCCCAAGCCAGATTTCCAGCTCTGGTCTGTAGGATCTCGGGCTTGGCAGAGCTGTGTAGCAAGAAATGAAATACGGCAGAATTAAAGAGAGCTACAGCCCTTCTTTAAGCCTCATGCCCACGGGCTTATCATTGCTGTGCCTCATCCATCCAGACAGCGGGAATTTGATTATTTGATTTAGGAGCCCGGAACAGAGCAAGAGCCAAAGACACAGACTGACCAGAAAGAGAGAGAGAGGGAAAAGCAACAAGACAACAAAGCGAGAGAGAGAGAGAGAGAGAGAGAGAGGGAAAAGCAACAAGACAACAAAGCCCACTTTTTTGCTGACAAGGTCACAGTATATCTGACATGATCTTTGCTTCTCTGTCATTCAATATTATTCTCTTGGGACATGTCTTACAGCGATGGTGAGGGGCGAGGAGGGTCCCGGCCAGCACATACAAGCCTTTGACATAAAATTGAAAGTCCCTGACCCTTCTGTAGTTAGTTTTCACCTGTCCTCAAATGCAACTTGATATGACCACACTTTCTACTGATCAGGTGCTTCTGTGATCTTGATCACTGCTTTATCGTTTCATGTTGCAGTCCTGCTTATCGACCACACGAGGTGCTGCGTGTCCTGCCATTTAGAACATAATAAAATCTACAGTTCACCCTGAGTCTCAGTTCATAGATCAATATGGGCTTTCAATTATCCAGTTGGGCCTGTGAGACTAATGCAGTGCATCCTGGGTAACAGACACGGCACACATCCACTCACATACCCGCATATTTGAGATATACATTCAGTTACGAAATCAAGAAAGCTGGGATCAGGCAACGATTTTAGGCATCATCTTCAAAAATCAAAAATACTTAATTTTGACTAAAATTGATGGCAGCATCATATATATCCTTCATGGATCAAAATGCATTGATGGCGGTATGGAGCTACAAAAATGTCATATTTAAATACATTTTATTTTAATTAAATATATATAGTACTTTATTGTAAATGTATTATTCTTATTTTATTATAAATCATTTAATTTATTATGAAATAATTTAATTATAGTTCCTAATTCAAAATAGCCACTTTTACATAATATATGCATATATCTTTACACATATTTTTCATTTTATTATAATGAAAATAATTTTATTATTCTGTGTGGAAAATTATCAATAAAATACTCTTCCATAATGTAGTTTCTAATTCAAAATGGGCACTTTTACCCAATATATGTAATAATTAATAATAAAACATTATTGTTATTATTAATATTTATTACTACTATTATTATTATTATTATTTATTAATAATAAAATCAAACAAAATAAATAAAGATAAATAAAATGTAAATTACATTAATAAAGTATCAACAGAATATTTTCCGTAATACAATTTCTAATTCAAAATCAGCACTTTTACCAAATAGTTATATATACTGTACTTAAGATATAAATTTGTTTGATGATTGTTACAGTACTATATCAAACTAATACTATATAAAAAAAGTTTATTTTCTTATAAATAATTTCATTTTATAATGAATATAATATTATTATAACAACAAACATAATAATATTATAAATCATTTAATTTAATTACAAAATTGGCTCTTTTATCAACTACTGACCGCCTTTACTGTGAAATTAACTGTGAGATTTAGTAGATTTTTTTGTGCAATTCATATACAAATTTATTTGTATGGCACAGATAACAACCCGCTACCAAAGTAGTTGCCCATGTAGAGTCTTTTAAATCAGTCCCTTATGAGGTTTCATTTCAGTTAAGATGCTGCCTTAGAAGTAAAAAAAGAAATAACTTCTATATTATTGGATGAGTATTACATGATACGTTTGACCAATGATACTGATTGTAATATTGAGAGTGGTCAGTTTCATGTGTTTCCCACCTGCACTTCTAAGTCTCTCTCCACCCGCGAGATGTTGACGGTGTGGGGCTGCCCGTTGGCCAAGTTCCTCTGGTCAATATCAATACTGAAGGGTTCTCTGAGACCACCCAAGTTGTACCGCAGCTGCAGCGTACCTGAGTGAAACAGGATGAGACAGAAAGATCACATTTATCCAGAGCTCAACCGCACTGCAGTCTTCCTGGATGCAGAATGCCTGAGTGAGTGAGAGTTGTGCATCAGTTCTGCACCCTAACATCACTCACCTCCACAGCACTCTCCTGTGCAACGGCCCTACAGACTGCAGGGATGAACATTACCTCATTTGGGTTACCGCTCAGGCCAGCAAGATAAATTTGCTCAGAGACTACAGGGTAAAATTCGATGTGGGTTTAGGCAGCTTAACACAAAGCACAAGTATCACCAGTCTTGTGTGCCCACTTTGGGTTTTATGGAACAGTGTTTAGCGAAAACGCCACTCTACAAATTAAACAACGGTACATCTGAGTCACTGTGTTTAATGTGAAATCCTGTCCTTGAGGGGAATAAGGGTCTTTTTCTTTAAACACCAGATGTGTTTTACTTCTAAACTCTAAAAGAATTGGATCACAGTGTTGTGCTTATGCCAAACAAACAGGGATGTAATTGCCTGCACTCTGCCATTTGTCATATAATTAGCTTTTACTGTTGCGCTTCCATTTCAAAAAGCAATTCAGCCTGGTGCAATAAATTTTCCTTTATTATTACAGTGCAGTTTCAAAACTGCTGCAGAACAATCTTACAGACACACACACAGATGCGTGTATTGCATCAGCATCCGGACTTAATGATGAACGAAGACTAACCAGGTGTGATGCGATTTGTCTGTTCATACTGAAAGCAACAATACTGTGCGAGGTGGCACAATAAAAGCTAATCAGAACATATTTGATGTTAAATATACAGTTTGGTTCACACACAGGCATTTTACTGACTTTACAAATACATGACATTATTCTACTAACCCTAACCATAGATACACTGTATATACATAGATGCCTCATTAGCGGTTGTTTCTATGGGTGGCTATACATAAGTCATCCGCCATATTGGAATAGTCAAAGCCAGTCTGTGAACACTTGAGAGAAAGTTGACTATGTCTGCAACCGTAGTTCCCTTTCGAGGGAACTTCGAACTGCGTCCTCTCGAGGTCGCTATGGGGAACGCCTTCAGCGTGACCGGTGTCTGAAGCATACATCTAAAAACGACAAAAACATTGGCCGGCGACAGCCTATGACATCATTACCCTGATCACGCGATCACAGTATAAAAGGGCACCGGGATAACATGTTATCCTCTTCTTCATCTTCACTGACCATTTGTTTATGTTAGCATTAAGCTAAAGACGACTAGGAGTGCATGTTTTCTCGCCAGAGGCTTTGCTCTGATACCTGCAGTTTCACACAGCTCGCCTGCTGTGTGTGTGTGGTGAAGAGCAAGCGTGTTCAGCTCTCGAGGAGTTCGATGCGCTTTGCATTCATTGCTTATTTCTTGTGAGGGATAAGCATGAATTGAACGCGCTCGTCTCACGAGGAGACGGCTTGTGCTCATCGTATTGCATTCGCGGGACTACTGAGGGGGATGTGAGTACTTCACCATTTACCCGAGTTTGTAGATAGTGTTTGCATGAGTGCGTTCGCCTCTTGCGGGAATAGCGATGCATTCGCGGCAGCGGTTTTCATTCTCGTTTGAGTTCCGAGGTAATCTAGTGGTTGGGCGGAGCGTGTTTAGCTCCCGCGGGAGCTGAATGCATGCTGTGCGTTGCGGTCGCAGTGAGAACATGGAAAGGACCTGATGGGAAATTTCCCCCATCAGTAATTTCCTTTTGTTTATATAGGAAGTGTATAGTGTGGATCTGTCTGCAGTTGTTGGACAGATGATTTATATCATGTCCTTTTCAGATAACCACATTATACTGCACTCCGGCTTGAAGTAAAAAAAAAAAAAAAAAAAAAAGAGCCTTCCATTCCATGTATGCCAACATCGAGGGGATGCGTGTGAATGGTTATGAGAAGATGCCCTCTGTTGAAGAGATGCTGGCCTGCTATCTCTCTATGGGGAAGACATCTTCTCTTAAGGCTCCCTCCCTGCCATCCAAACCCCTTT